AATGATTCTATGATTTTATGATTCTATGAGCTCTGGGCCTGATTGATGGAAAGGTTTCCATTGCCATCCTACAAAAAATAGAACACTAAAGCGATTCTTTGCTAATTTAATTACAGTGTGTCTGAAAGTTTTCTTAGTACCCTAAGGATCCAGGTTTCTAAGTAACCTTTTTGCATGCAAGAGGAACCATCATTAAATAACACCCCTCACCATCTGCTCTAAGAAAACACTTAATCGCAAGAAATTGTGATTCTTTTTAACACTCCTTTCCAACTGCCTTCCACAGCAAAAGTACATCACTGATTGCAGTATTGCCAGAACGTCCTTGGCTATTGCACTTCTAAATATGGTCTAAGCCCTTAGTGATTCCATAAAAATACTTACAAGAACCAGTCCACTGCAATTATAAGAGTGATGTCATCTGTAGGCAAACCTACTGATGTAAGCACAATGACCATGGTGACAAGTCCAGCTTGAGGAATGCCTGCAGCCCCAATACTGGCAGCTGTAGCTGTGATGCTGTGGAAAGAGATGGCAAGAGCAATTACTTGGCTTCCATAATGGAATGGAATCTTGGAAGTGATCTCCTTACCATCTGGCAAACATTAAAAACAGATATGAAACAAGAAGGCATTTGCTCAGTGATAAATAAAAAGATGAGCCCAGTCCCTTATCTGAACACTGCATAGCTGCAGGGGAGTGTGGATCTTAATCCAAACTGTTTACATTAAACCTTTATCCAGAACCCTCAAAACACGATTTTGTTAGGCGGTAAATTCTCTACTAGATGCTAAGGGCCAGACAAAAACATTATAGCTACATGCCCCCACCCATTGAGCAAACTCACTCCACAAGCTCAAACATGTTAAAAGAAAAGCTGAGGAGGTAATTTTGTCCTGGCAGATCTAATGCACGAACTTTTATTCTCTGTCCATCTCACTATAACTTCATGCCAGATGAAGTATCTGTTCTCCAGCAGTTGGCACTCTGCCATCAGAAAACAGAAAGCTGCCAGAAACCCTGAATCATGCAGTCTAGTAATTTGATAGAAATATGCTTGTTCACACCTGGTTTAGGAAGACTTTGTTTTGTCAGGTGATTTGGCAGGGAGCAGCTCTAGTACTAATGAATGTGGAACTATTGCCTCAGCACGTGGAGGCAGAGTTTTGCCTTCTGTTGATGAATATTGAATTAAGCTGGTGGTTTTTATGGAGAGAAGTACTTCTGCTTGAAAGTCTTCTACATTCCCAGTTCACCATATCTGAACTTTCGGTGTTCCTGAGTGATAAATATGTGTGTCTCTGTCCTTCTCTCCCCTTTCTGACACTTCTTTCTTCTGCACATGCAGCCATCACCCTTTTGTCTTAAGCTGTTTGAGTAACATTATGAAATTAATGCAGATCAGTTATCATTGAGTGCTACTTTGTGGGTTGTTTGCTGTTCTATTTCAAACATGAAGGCTTGTGTGCTTGAAAACATACTGATCTTCTCCACCTCTATCAGCTGGTGTAATAAAAGGCATTACTGCGCCTTACACAGCTTGCGCTACTTGTATCCTGAGACCACCAGGACTAGGAAGACACTACCTCGCCTAGCATTAGCACTGTGACGCTTTTATGCTACTGCTTTGGACGTGCGTTATAAACAACCTGGTACTGATTCTAGTCTATAGCTCCCAAGAGCTGCATGAGTTCTTAAGAAAGAAAGCTTAAAAGTCATTAAAAACTGTTCTTGTTGACTCTACTAAGTGCAGTGATAGGTGTGTCATGTTACAGTTTTTTAAAGGTTTACCTAATGGAGAATATGTGCTGGGGGGCCTCTTCTGTGCAGAAGATGTAAGTCATTACAGTTACTCAGCTACTGTAGCAGTTCTCGTTTTTAGCTCTAGACGCTTTTGTTTAATCCCACATATAACAGCAAGAAGGAGTCATCACAAAGGTGCTTTTATTAGATGTAGGTAGTAATGGCTTCTGTACCTGATCGTGATAATCTGCCCAAAGTTCAGATCAAAGTTGTTAACCTGTGCAATGAAAATCGCAGCCAAAGCCTCATATAAAGCAGTTCCATCCATATTAATGGTAGCACCAACTGGAAGTACAAATCTTGTAACTCGCTTGTCCACTCCATTTATTTCTTCTAGACACTTAAATGTAACAGGTAGTGTTGCAGAACTGAAACAAAACAAAAAAGAGGGTAATATATGATATAAATTCTACAAAGAGGGAATGAAAAGTGTCACACATTGTGATGACAAGAGAGATTGTTCTGTCTTAATTTTTATGTGATCTACCAGAATATTTTTTTTTAAAATGTGAAGGCTGAATGATGAAGGTTCTCCTAATGCTCTTGGAAAGTTTTTCCAGTGGTTAATTATTGTCACTGTCTATGTAGTCCCTAGTCTGAATGTGTCTAACTTCAGTATTTTGTCACGAATCCAGCTTCTCATTTTTTATGTCGTGGAGTTATGATTGAATCATCCCTAAGCATGGTTTTCCTGAAATTATACAAATTGAGCTATTCAAGCCTTCAGTAAAAAGCATATTTTCTCTTATTTATTTGCTGGCTCCCCTGGAAAGGGCATTTTGATGGACGATTACATTACTTTACCACTTGTGGGTTAACACCAGTAGGCAGCCAAGCACCACACAGCCACTCGCTTACTCACCCCCACACCCTGAGTGGGGCAGGCAAAGAGAAAAGGTACAGTAAAAGCAAGAAAACGCAGGGCTTGAGATAAAAAAAAAAAGGTTAAAAAGTGAAGGATAAGTGGAAAAAGAGAGAAGGAAAACAAAACAAAACAAGTGATGCAAAGGCAATCACTCACCACCTCCCACAGGTAGATCAATGCCCAGCCAGTTCCTGAGTAGAAGATGGCTAGCCTCCCTAAAATCCCCTCTTTTCCCTTTTTATTGCTGAGCATGATATTATATGGCATGGAATATCTCTTTGGTTAGTTTGGGTCATCTGCCTGGTTGTGTGCCCTTCCAATTTATTCCACACCCCTCAATCTACTCATTGGGGGGGCAGAGTGAGAAACAGAGAAGGCCTTGACGCTGTGCAAATAGTGTGATCAGTGTTGTTTTGGTCACAGATCTAAAACGTGGCACCATATGAGCTGCTATGAAGAAAGTTAACTCTGTCCCAGCTAGGCCCTGTACACCACTTAATCTTGTCCCTGCTGCTACATCCAAATATGATATAAATGATAATTTCATTTAAAAACCAACCCAGCTGAACATTTTGGCTTCATGCTACACGAGTAGCATATTCCCATTCAGCCCATGTGGCACCAAGTTTGTTTTCAGAGACACTGCCTCCGAGGGAAGGATAAGGTGGCCATTTTATAAGAGCTGCCTGGGATCTTTGTTCTTAAAGATGTAGCTCTGCATCTGATCACACCAAAGTAAAGAGGTTTTTCAAGACCCAGCAATTCAGATTGCTCTGTCTCAGTGACCTCTTCATTCCTAAGTACTTAGCAGACTTTCTTGTCTTTGAAAACTTCATCAATATTGATAAAATAAAATACTGATAAAATGTAAAGTAAAGAAGGGCTGTGGAAGATTGTGCTAGAAAATCTCTTTGATGACAGTCAACGTACAGTTGAATTTTAAACAGCTTTTAAATCCGCTCGCAGCATAGTGTGCTCTCTTGCATCTATCTAGGTTCTTACTCAGAATCTTGAGCAGCACCAAGTGGAATGTCTTACAGAAGGTGCAACATATCTTCTTAACACTACCACCAAAGTAGTTTCATTTTATTTTCTCTTAAACTATGTTGACTGGCGTTAGTTTTATTATCTTCTTTTAAAAATCATTATTAAACAAATTCCCTTTTAGGCATTCCACAAACTTTCAAGGATTGACATAAAAATGTCAAATGTGAAATTAGTAACTGTCCCTCTCTACCCATTAATATAGCATCATAATTTTTTAAGTCCTCAACAGCTTTTTCAGTTATACAAAACTTAATCAGATTCTACATTAATGGTCACAATAGCTTCTTATCCAGATCTTCAAAATAATCCCAAACACCAGAGACTTGAATTTGGTGATACAGAATGTCTGACTTAAAACATCTGTTTTTAGGAGATACTTTCAAAATCTGTTAAAATGAAAGGTGGTTTATGAAAGGTCATAAGGTATAGAAATGTGTATTTGATTACAGTAACGTTTCCTTTCATCATAGATGCAAACATTTTTTTTATTCATGTGACGTACCTACGACTTCCTCAACAAAGAGCAAAAGTGGCATTTCTGTTGCAGATTGTATATCCATCGCTGGCTATCAGGACTTTGAGCACAGAATGTCAGCTGTCAGTAAGGGCTCTCAAGGTCTCTCAGAATCCCCTCTGAACTTTCCTGTTTGCTGCTCCATTTTGCCATGCACATCTTTTGCTAGCTACATCCTTCACCAGGAAGCCGTTACAAACTACTTAAAAATCTCAAACACCAAGGCTAATCAAAGTCACAAGGGTTCCTGCCATACAGTCTGCATCACCAAACAGACTCATTACATCTCTGTTCAGGGATTCTTATAGAAAATAGAGTTCAAGTCAATATAATGATAATAATTATCTCTATTGGAGAGCAGTGGAACTGAAATAAAGTGCCCAAGTGAATACTTGAATACAGAGTTAACCAATTACATTAGGCAAAATTGTTTCTAAAACCATTAATATTATAAAAACAATATGGCCTTAAAATATTGTATTGTACCTGGAAGATGTTCCCAAAGCTGTGACTAACGCCTGGATTAAGCCTCCAATAAATACCCAAGGGTTCTTACGAGTGATCAGGAAGTAGAGAAGAGGTAGGACAATGACAGCATGAATTAGCAAACCGATGATGACTGTTACAGTATACATGGCAAGTTGACCACCGATCACACCCATATCTTCCATCTCAACAATTTTTCCAGCAATCAAGAAGAGGATTCCAAGTGGAGCATACCTGCAAGTAAGAAATCAAATCAGCGTTGTACTGAATAAAGTAGAAATTCACTCCCCCATCCATACCTTTTGTGTTTATATGCAGGCATAAATATAGGATTTCACTGTTAGGATGACTGCAGTTATTCAGGAGCATAACTGTTATGCTCCTTAACTGTTAACTGTTCAACCTGGATTAAGCCACAGCAGTGAATGTTTCTGATAGGCTCCATTGGATTCAGGGTCTGGTAAGGATTTCAAGATGTATAGCATGCCTTTCAGACATGTAGGGACATGAGCTCGCTTTGGAATGCAAGTGTCATTTAAGAGCTAGTTTAGCCAATTCTGTTATAATTCTGTGTGTACAAACGAAGGCTCAACCAACATAGTTGTAGACTATGCCAAGTGCCCACTTCTATTATCTCGCCAGTGCTGTTTCCCGTGTTGTTGGGGAAGGAACCCAGAAGGCTGATAACTTCTGATGATTTCAATCTGCTTCTGGCCATGCCCCATTTTCTCCAGTGGGGCACTGGATAAATACTTCATCATGAAGCCATCTGTATGACAGAGGTTAGCTGCATTGTGGGGCAGCAACAAAGGTGGTATGAGCTGCTTTCTTCTATCTCTGGTAAGCACAGCTACAGCTGAACAAAGAGCTAGTGCTGAGCATAAAACTCTAACATAATTCTGCTGCAGCTGGACTTTTGGTATAGCCTTATTTCTAGAAATGTCCACTTGTCTTTTCACACTAAGTTACCACAGAACAAAATTTATCCAGCATATCTCAATTACACCTTCAAATCAATGTAGAAATTTCTCAGAAGTAACAATTCTTATCCACCTCTTTATCATCTTAAGCATGCTTGTAAAGAAGGAGGAAAGATTTTTGCTTTGTATAGATGTTTCCTGGCAGAATAGAATTTTTGTTACTGGAAAAAATATGCTTATTTTTAGTTTTGTATCTAGTACTGCAACACATGTGTGTGTGTTCTTGGGTAGGCTTTTGGAGTTGATTTGTTTGTTTGTTTTCTGTAGTAAAGAAGGCAACAAGACATAATTTTGTTTCATAATTAACCTTCTATCTGACAAATAATGAATCTTCATTGTTGAAAAGTCTTAATACTTAATGTTTGAGGGAAAAGGCATTGATTTTATTTACCTATTGAACACAATAAAGAAAGTACGAAAATTATGTGTGTGTGTAAGCAGTGCAGCTACAATGCAAGGACATATATGTGCACTACACAACTGCAGGAACCAGTTGTGTTGGAAACTAATGATAACAAGGTCTTGCTGTGTAGAAGTAAGATTATGGGAGAGGTTTGTCAGTTTCCTTTAGTGAAGTCAGATTAGAATACAAGGAAACTTACTGTTGTGATTGCTATCTTTATGAAGACATAGAATGGCTCTATATAAGCTTAGCAAGTTCTGCCACAGATCCTGATTTTTTTAATGTCAAAAGCTAAAAAAACTGAAAGAGTAGGAATGTTTGGGCAAATCATTGACATACACAATTACAGTTCTTGGATTCATTTATGAAAAAACCTATAAGGTAGTTAAGATCTTATTGTCTGACTTCCTGCCAAACAGACTCTTGCTATCCAGTGCCTGACTGTGATGAAAAAATATTGTTAGTAACTTAAAATGGAATTTTCAAAGAGGCACTTACCACATGATTAGAGCTACCAATCTCATGATAGCCTCATTAAGGCTATCAAAGAAGTCTTTTAATGCCTGACCTTGCTCCTTCATGCTTCCAATCACCAGGCCAAAGCTTATTGAGAAAACCACCAAGCCAAGGGCATTCACTCCATTTACAGAACCTGGAACAGGAACTATTTCCTCTTTGATTCGGGTGAGGGTTTCCATTGCTTCTGACACATTGCTTATTATGGAAGCCACTGTGGATGTGTCATTGGATGGAATATCTACTTTAAACATTCTCTTTTCATAGTTAGTTTTGAACTGTTAAAAAAAAAATAAAAGAAAGATAGGAATTCTGTGAATTATAGCAAACAAAGGTAAAAATCACACATTAAATTATTAGTTACTATTGTAGAATATTTCAATTCTTTGTGTAATATTTGTTGGTAAAATGTACTGTGATGAAAACCTGGCTTTCCTGAAAGCAACAAAAATCCATATTAACATCAAGAGCTAAATCTTAACCTTTAGCTTCCAGAACTCATTTTCTCATAAATATGTCAAAATCAAAGACGCAGATTTGTTATACTCATGAGTTTTGTGACTAAACTATTGATTCTTAGTTTGCATTTTTATAAATTGTTATTTTTCCCAACAGCGTATTTTCAGCTGCTAAATAAATAGGTCATTTTTGGCGAGTGAAAATATTTTCATGTGCTCTGGAGTTTCCTTACTTTTTCATCATTTTGAATTAGAAAAAATTAGACTGAAAGTAACTTAAATACAACGTACCTCTTTTTTCTTTTGCTATGGCAAAGCCATTAGTTTTCTATGCTTTTGCAGTAACAAATCACCACTTTTCTTAATTTAAAAAAGGGTTCTACCTTAAACAGTACCATTATAGAATAGGCAAATCAATTTCAAAATCTCAATATGCTCCTAAATGTCTACTTTGAAAACCAGTCTTTCACCACCTAATGATTTTCCAAAAAGAAATGTGCATCCTAAATATTTCTGTCTGGACTCAAAAAGCCCTGCAGCCCTGTCCTGATTAAATTTGTTGAACACAAATAATACTAAATATCACTAATAAAATATTTCTAACATATCTCAGGGTGCTAAATACCCTATTAAAGCAATGGGATGCTGGTGTCAAGGTTATTGAACAACTTTGGATTTTTATTCCTTTGGGCCTGCTAACAAAAGACAAATACTAAGTCCAGGAGCTGTAACATTATTAGTAGTATCTGGAGACTGTTGTGCATTCCAAAAGTATTTGAGTGAAATGTAGTACTTATGACTAAGATGGGAAACCTGAATATCAGCATCTATCAACACTGACCTAATTTTCTGTAATTTTCCACACCTGAACAGTTTTATGCACTCCTTCCACATATTTGCTGTATCCCCCTGAAGGCTTTAAGTGTTTCAGCATTTCAAATAAAACTTGCTTACAGGAGATTTATGGAAAGTTTCTGACTAAGATGCAGCAGAACAAATCTCCATGGAGGTCAGGTATTCTTGAGTTTTAAATGAAATTTGCTAAGATTAGTTTTAAGATTTGGGCTGTGGTTAAAGGAGACAGCTGAGTTGTTTGAACAGTTGGCTTACATGGAAAAGCCCAGTTCCACTCCCTCACTCACTCACATCCAACTTGTGGTAATTTCTCCTCTGTGTCAATTCTAGTTTGATCTCCCAGTGAGTCAATTCTACTTTTTAAATCTGCAGAAAACTTACCAAGCAAAAAAAGTGGCCATTTTTGGGTAAAGGCTATGGAGGTGTATCAGCTCACTGGCTAATGAATGCCAGAGAGGGCAAAACACTGAGACTGGAACTACACAGCTGGGGAAGGAGGGATGGAATTGCCTCTTTAAGTGACAGAGAGTTATTAGAGTGGAAATGGAAATTTTCTAGAAGTTCTCGCTAAATTTTAGTTCAGTCCTGACAGGAATGTTAAAATACTGCCTAACACTGTACATCAAACACTTCTAATTCTTTTTTTTTTTTTTTAAATGTGTACAGGTGTGATAATTATATGTATATTTCTATTATATATGTTTTTTAGTAGAAAAAAACTTAGGTAAAAATTCTTTCATGCAAATATCTGAAGGGTGTAATTATGCTGGATTTGTGGGCATACAGATTAGACAAACATAAAAAATCAAGCTGCTTAATGAGGGATGGCATTAAAGCCTAATTTCCTACTGAATTTCCTA